GACTGTGTGCCTTTAAGAAGTGCCTGCCTGTCCTGGTGTCTGTAGTGCTTACTTTGTTATTTCAAAATAACGCTAGTTATTCTGAAATAACGCTGCTGTGCAGACATGCCCTTAGTTCCAAAACCACCTGCACTGACACCTCAATCTGAGACAGTGCTTCAGATTTGCCACCTGAAAAGTACGGCTCCAATATGGGAATCTCTCTCGCATCCTCTGCAGTGAAGACCTATGCAAAGAATTAATTTACCTTCTCCACAAAAGCTTCTCTTCTAGTGCTTCTTTAGCAACCTCCATCATCCAGTGGCTCCACCAATAGTTTGGCAGGCTTCCTGCTTGTGACGTACTTAAAACAAAATTGCTGTTCGCTTTTTTGTCTTTTGTTAGTTGCACTTCAAATTCTTTTTTGGCTTGCCTAATTATATTTTTCCACTTGACTTGCCAGAGTTTATGCTCCTTTCTAGTTTCCTCACTAGAATTTGACTTTCAATTTTTAAAGGAAGTCTTTTCATCTCTAGCCACCTCTTTCACTCTGTTGTTTATCCATGGTGGTATTTCACATTGACCCTCTTACTTAAAAAAAAAATTGGGATGTACAAATAGTTTTTAGCCTCTATTATGGTGTTTTTTAAAAAAGTTTCCATGCAGCTTGCAGGCATTTCACTGCGTGGGGTATGGCACGCTGGTCCATATGCGCAGCCCAATGGAAATTCCTCTACAGAGAGGGACTCTGATGGTCCTATCCCTGGAGGACCAGTCTCTCTGTATGCTTGGGGACAACTCCCCTATTCAAACTTGCCATAAACACAAATCTTGAGGAAAATGCAAAGAGAACAATGAAACCTACATCATTTCTACAACCCTCTCATGCCTCGTCTGGAGCGGGCATAGAAGCTGTTGTGGAAAAAAAGAAGATTGTGTGCCTTTAAGAAGTGCCTGGCTGTCCTGGTGTCTGTGGTGCAGTGAGGCAGGGAATGCACTGCTGATACTAACCAAGTTTGCCAGCCATGCTTTTCTCATGGCTTCCACACAATGGCCAGGTTTTTTCCCCCCCTGCCGATAGTGCTTAATTAGGCGAGGAGTTGATTAATTTGAGGTAATTGACAGCTAATTATAGGCCTGAGGGCTCATTAACTTGACGTCTTGTCTCAGTGAATTGGCTGAAGGAGGTCAGGTGATGTGCAACCTCCCCCCCACCTTCCAGGCACACAATATTCCCAGCTCAGAGAGACTGTAGGAATTTACCTGGATCACAGGGAGAGAGCTAGGAGAGCAGTCTGCGGAGAATCAGCAGCTAAATACAGGAGTAGGGGAAGGAGGGCAGAACTCCTGGGATAATACTGACACCAGGAGGGGCTAAAACAGCTCTTGGTAGATACTAGAGTGATAAGCAGTGTTATAAAAGCCTACTCATAAAATGCCCCTTGCATTTTGGTCATAGAAACAGAACAGAGCTGGATCACCCATGTTGCCAGACAGTCCCAGATGGCAACATGGGTGATTCCAAAGCTGAAGGAGAGGAATTTCTGGATTCAGAGATAGACTAGAACTAAGTGGGAGAACACTGGAAAAAACACACTGTGGGAGAGGGGAACAGTGGCTTGGGGGACACAGGAATTACTTACCTGTGTGGGGTATGAGCTCCTGACGCCCTGGCTCCTGCATACAAGACTCTAGGTGTGCTGATAGCTTATGGTACTATTCAGTTATATACACACTTTACAAGATAGGTCATATCAGGAGGGCAGATGGGGATGAGGGAGGGCTGCACAGCAGCATGTAAGCTGGTCAGGATTCCCTTCACAATGACTGACTGGCTCCCAATGGCCAGAAGCTCTCACTGCCACTTTATACCACCCCCACAATCCCACCAAAATTAGCACTTCCTACAGGTTAAAAGGAAAGTACAAATAATTACTGAGCAACAGAAGAGCATAAGAACTGCCAAACAGGAAATGACCATTAGTGCATCTTGTCAAACTCATACTCATACTTAGATCTATGGGCCATATAATCCAGCAGCCTTCTGAAACAGGCCCCAAAGGTCCATCTTGACTGATATTTTAGCTTCAACTGTAGCCAATACTGGGTGCTACAAGAGGAGGCATAACATTCCCACAAGGCAAGTTATTATCCAATATATTGAGTGGTAGATTAGTCAGATAGGGCCAGGTCCTAGGTGCCCCAGCCAACTGTAGAGCCCTTCAAAAAATTTGCTACCAAGGGACAAAAACCCAGAACTCCAGCCATTGGGCAGGTGGGATGAAGGATGCTTTTTAGAAGCAGGCCCCAGTGCCCCCATCCATCCCTAGCAGAAGCCACAGAGCAGCAACAGGGGAAGCCCCCATGACTGAGACTGCTCTCCAGCAGAAATGGTGGGAAAAGTCCCTCAGCCCTGATCTGGGTCCTCCACAGAAGCATAGGAGATTGTGGGGGAAATCCCAACACCTGAAACCCTGCTGTAGTCCTAGAATTGGAGGGGCTCTCACTTCCTGCTACCGCTTTGGGGCTGTGGCATGAGGACAGGGCTTCTCTGGTCTTGGGGCAGTGCGAAAAGGGGGCAAGATGAGAGGGACCTTGGGTGGAACAGGGATTGGCTCTGAGAAGGGGCAGAAAGGGGTGGTGCTGAGGTAAAGCGCAGAACAGGGGCAGGACTGCAGGTGGAAAGGGTGGGGAGGAGCCCTCCACTTGCTCTGGCTCAGGGCACCAGGAAACCTTAATCCACTTCTGATACTATTCTACAGGGGAACTAGAGGAAACAGTTTGAAAAACACTGAAAAAATGCTTATTTTAAAAGGACACCACCGTATTACATTTTATTAATTATACAGAATCATTTGTTTGCATCACAGAGTGAGTTTTTGCTGGATTATTGCTCGAACACAGACTTATCTAAGCAGTTGTTTCTTCATAAACTCATTGGATATACATTAGAGGATGTCTTAAATGTATTGCTTTTTAACATTGTACTAGCCAATTAGCCCATCATAAGATGGGATTTTCAGGTCTCTTCTCCAAGTCAGACTTCTCTCCTGAGCCTCCGGTCTCTCGCTCCGTCTCTCTCTCTCTCTCTCTCCTCCTCCTCCTACTGCCTCCCCCTATCTCTCTCTCAGCTCTCCTCCATCTCCTACCCCTCTCCATCTTTCTTTCTCTTCTCCCCCTCCTGCCTCTCACTCTCTCTCCGCTCTTCTCTGTCTCCATCAGGGGAGCATGAGCGGGGGCATGTACGTCACTACCCCACTCCCCCTCAACTCCCACC